TTTGAAAGCAAATTGCTCTTCATAAAATATCATTAAGAATTATGGATAATAGCAGCCCTTGAACAAATTCACATCTTTTTGCTTTCTCTTCCTGATCCTTGAGTGAAAGGGGAAACGACTGCACATTTCTATCATCAAAACCAAATATTAGAATAAAAGGGCTAATAAAAGCCTAAAATCACCGTAGAAATAAAAAGACACTGTTGCAAAACTATATTTCTAAAAAGAGCAATCGGTTCTTCCTTTCTTTCTCTAAAAGAGCAATCAGTTCTTCTTTTCTCTCTCTAAAAATTCATTCTCAGTGCATCCTTGAAACCCAAATTCATTTTTGCATCTTTCACCTAAATTCATTCTTAGTGCTTTTTGTTCTTCGCAAATGGTGGTGATCGATTTGTTAAATTTTGTTGTTGGCAATGTGCACATGTGTCAACAAAATCTCCTTTTAATGATAACAATGGAAGGAAAAGTGAAAATTTTTGTTGTCTTGTTAAAGAGTTATTTGTAGGAAATATATATCAAAGAAATCAATCTTCATTTATTATTATTGTAATTTGCAATGCAAGTTCACGATGAACAAGCAAAAGCTCCGATTTTTTTTTTTCATTATCTGATGATATTTTCTACAACTTTGTCAAAATACCTTATGTCATTTGCACTCTACTTTTGTAAATAGCTCATTGAAACTTAATATATTCTTTTTCAAAAGTTATATATCATAACATATAAATCCGTAAATCTATAGTTAGACACAACCTAAAGAGTCGCCATCAATATTTTATTGAGATATGATTGGTCATCTAAGTGAATCTATACTCTTAAGAATATTCTAAGCTTGACTAAAGATCTTTAAAACAATAAGTTCTGATCTACCAATCAGAACAGGGTTTGAGAATAAGTTCTGATCTACCAATCAAAATAGGATTCGAGAGTTCGGTTACATACAAAAAAGATCATAGTACCCCTATAATACCCATCCTAAGATGGTACCATTTAATTTTAAATAATTTTAGCAATTATCTTGGTTCTAATGGTTTTTATTTTAATGTTTAAATATCGAAAATGACTTCTAAGATTTTTTTATTAACCTAGTAGAATTCTTAAAAATACTTTTTCACATCAAGAGTATTTAAAAATTCTATTATTTTCTTAAAGAGGCTCCATCGTAAGAAAAACTTAATCATTTATTTTATTAAATGTTTTTTTGTCTAAAATATATCTAATTCTTCCGGGTCAAAATTAGAACTATTTTCTCATCTAAAAATCTCTTAGATAATCATCCATTTGTGATTACTAAGAATTTCATCCTTGAAATTTATTTTATTTATTTTTATTTTTGTTTCTAAATTTTTCATCATTTTGGTCTATTTAAAATCTAAACTTTTGTTAGTTTAGAAAATAATGTGACAATTATTTTTTAAAGTCTCATTTAAATTCTTCTACCATGTGGGATGAGTTTAGAAAAAAAAATTTCACTTAGGAATCTTATGAAAATTCAATTATTTGTGGTTTTTCTTAAAATAGGATATTTGTCAAATATTTTCAACCAAAATTTTAAGTTTTATTCTTAATTGTTGTATTCCTAATTTTTTATTTACAAAAGAATATAATTATTTTTATTAAAATTTTGTTTAAATTATTCCATCGTTTGGGTCAAATCTAGAGAAATTTCTCACTTAGAGATTTCTTAGAAAATTTACCATTTGAAATTTTTAAAATTTTCATCCTTGGATAATTGTTAATTTATTCCCAAATTTTATTAAATTTATTTATATTTATTTTTTTTAAAAAAGTGAAATTAAATATTAATTATTATTATTTAAATTTTATTTAAAATTTTCCTTCATTTAGGTCAAGTTTAAAAAAAAATTCTCACCTAAAAATTTAGAAAATATTTCTCACTTAGAAATTTTTTAAAAATTAACCATTCTTGATCTCATAGAATTTTAACTTCAATTTTACATTTTTTTATTTTTTTTTCAAATAATTTATAAAGATATTCCTAATCTAGAAAATTTAACATATAAAGCATAAATAAACAAATAAATATATAAGCAAGTGAATAAATAAAAAATGAAGAAAAGTAATTACCCAAAATTTGGGTTAAAACCCAAACGAAAGCTTTTAAGCCAATCAAATGGGCCCAACTTCTTTTGCTTCTCTACTTTACTCTCGTCCTTCAAATGTTGAGTTTGGCTTCATTCTCCAATTTTCAACAATTGTTTACTTTCAACACTAAAAGAACGCTAGTTCATCATATTGTTTCCTTTTTTAACTTTTCCTTTTATCATCTTTCCATGACTCTAGACACCAAGCTGCCTTTGTCCATTCTAACAACCCCTGAACATCCTTTTCTTTGAACTAATGTTTGTCACTACAAACAAGCCTTCCACAGCTGCTACGACTTTAACCTTCCTCCACTGCCACCATCGCTGCCGTAGAAATAGCCTTCCTAGCTTCGCCTTTTTTCTTTCATTTTTCTAAGCTAGGCCCTCTGATTGTTGTGCTCTCTTTTTAATGTTTTTTCCTATCTGATCACTGTAACTTTTTTATGTATATTGAAACCAATTTATAGATGAGAATCCAAGTTCAAATAGTGTTTCAATTAGGATTAAACTCTTCAAAGAATCTATCTGATAGTTAGATTAGGATTAATTTTTATTTTTTAAAAAATTTTTATCCAACCGAACAATCCTTCTTCAACCAAGTCTCTGCCATTTTGTTTATATTTTTACTGAAAAGATAAATAAATTTTAAATCTCAAAATGGGGTGTCTACAATATATACCAAGTGTTTGATAAATTGAATACAAAAGTTCTTGGCTTTTGTGAACTGCTCTTTAAAACTCAACGTATTCTTCTTTAAACAATTAACACCCAGTTTGATGATTTAGATATAAAAGTTCTTTATATAATTCAGATCAGTGTTTGGGTTTTGTTTTATTTGAGATTTTGAAATATAGGAAGAAAGAGAAGGTGATGGAACAGGGAGAAACGAAAAAAAAAGTAGTAAATTTTTCTTAAAACTTGAAAAATGACATTTCATTTTAATATGCTAATTAATGGTGCTTTTATTTCAAGGTCAACTTTTTATTAAAAAAAATTTATATTATTTTAAGTTGATAACGTTTAATTTTTATTTGTATAAATTTAATTAAAACGTTTAATTTTGAATTAAATAACTATCTAAACGTTAATCCTAAATTGAAGCATTTAGTTATCTTTATTAAACATCAGAAAATTTATATATTACATGTAAAATCGAAAATACATTTACTTATATATCACTAACACATAAATTTGTTCCTAAGGTTCTATGTCCAATAACCCATAGGAATAAGATTTATCACCCCCCTTCTAAACCCTTACGATGACCTTTCCTTACGAAATCGAACCATGAGTTTTCTTTGTTTAGGGATAATAATGTGTTATTAATATATTGATATTATAAATGTTACGTGTTATTTATGTATTATAAAAAATAATATAATAAATAATTTTATTATGTCATATTATATTTTTATGAAACCAATATAAAAATCTTACATTCTCTAAATTAACAAATAACATAGAAATCTTTTTTTTTTTTTCAATATTACTTTTACCCTAAATTATTTTACCACATCAAATTTAAGATGTTGTGAATCAAATGCATATTATGCTTGCCATTTACTTCCTCGTTCCAAAAGCCACACTTTACACTTTATTATCTTTGTTGGTCATGCTCTCTTTGGGGTTCATATATCAATTGGTATCCACACCATGCCAATTTTTCGGTACTAAAAGCATAAAATATATAAGAAAATATTAACCGGTACCTATTAAAATTAGTAGGTTACTAGTATCCAAACCATTGGCACTGCTTAGTAACTAATTCTAACTATCATTTCAATTATAATTCTAAGCTTAGTATGTGTAACTTTCATTGTATTTTCTTAATTCTTAGTGACAAAGTTCTAAGGGTTTTTATCAATAACATATCACCAACAATTATTAAATTTCAATTAATTAATTATAATTTAACAGTATATGAGATTCATCAAAAAATTATATCTTCCTACATCATTTTTAGATTAAAAAAATTGTGTAAATTCCATATTTTTAAATGATGGATTCTTACATCATTTTTATTATGATTAATTGATTACAGTATTATAATAAAAAAAATTGTAAGTGGAACAATCTTGTTTTTATCGATCATTCATAAGTAATTTAGCATCCAAATATCAAGTTAAAAATAAAATAAAATTTAGCCACTTGGATTTCTTTGTGGCAAATAATAAAATTGAGATAAGAAGAATAAAGGATTTTATGAAATAATTATAACATTAAAACTTATATTCCATTCAAATCATTTAATATTATTTCATTCAATTTTTACATGTCATTTATCACATCATTTATTTTTTAAATTTCTTAAAAAAATTCTACCCAACTGTATACACGTTTTTAGAGAGCATTAACCAGCCCCTCCACCACAACCAAAATTATTTTTTTTCCATTATTGCCCCGCCCTCCACAATTCAAAGATTCATATATAATCAAGAATCATAACGGGATTTAAGTTCCAAAGGCTGTAAATTCATGGAAATTAAACCACATGAGGTTTTTTTTTTTTTTTTAATTTCTTGTAGACTTAAGGCTGAGGTATTATTACTATTATACTGTTATTGTGCTATTGATTGATGTGTGTCTGAATGCTTTTTCTCTGGTGAAGTCATTGTTCTTCTATACCAATGCGCAATATGGAGGACAGTTATGTAATTTGAGCACAACAATTTGATTCTCAACGGGCAAAAGAAGACGTTGTCAAATCTTACACGCTTCTAGTTTTCCAATCACCGCCCGACGACATTCCTGGAAAAACAAAAATTTTAAATTTTAAATTCCCAATCTGACCGTTGCAAAGATTTATTTAAATTTAAAAAAGCCTCCTTACCGTTGGAAAAAACTATGAAAACACACCCAACTCACTATTTCTCCCTTCAAGTACTCTCTTTTCTTCTACATTTTTTGTCATTTTCACTCAATCTGTCGTTGTCTTGTACATACCAATGGCGGATCAAAGCTCAAACCCATCAATCATGGTGCCGAAACAACCACACCCACTTCACCAAATTGCAGAAACACCAACCCACAGGTTGCTTTTGAAACAATGGCTGAAAGAAGAAGAACTAATTTTCAACAGAATATCCCTCAAGGAGACTCAAATCGATTCCGTCCGTAAAGAAATCACGCAGCTTTACATGTTCTTCTTCCTCTTCCATTCCATTTCTCTTCTCCTCCTCTTCAACTCTTCTTCAAAGGACCCTCCAACTGGTGCCTGCCACAGGTCTTGGATCCCATCTTTGTGTTCTTTACTATGTTCAATGGGGATTATTTGGGCTGTTAGGTATAAAACTGATGTGGAAGGGCACTTGGAAAAGCTGTTGGAGAGGGAAAAAGAGGATGGAAAGTTGTTGGCCAAGTGTGTGGAGGAGTTGAAGAAGAAAGGTGTGGAGTTTGATTTGTTGAAAGAGGTTGATGCACTCAGGAGGGCCAAGAGTTTGAGGGTGGAGGCTAAAGCTGTGAGGAAATGGTCTGCTAGGGACTTTGTCACATTATTTTTCTTCACTGTTTCATGCCTGGTTCTTGGGTTGACAAGGGTTATTTTGTGCAGTTAAAGGTTGAGGGGAACATGTGGGAATTTTGGCATTTTGGGTACTGATTCTTTTCTGGGTTTCTTCTACATAGTTGGGCAGAAGATTAAATCTTAGATCCTGTCATAGAATTGGTTGAAATTGGTTTCTGGATTGGAAGTATTTGCAGAATACTCTGTTCTGCCTTTTTTTATTTCAGTTAAATTTGGGGTATTTATATCTACAAATTATGAAATAAAGTACGATATTTCATATTTATTAGTTTTCCCATTTTCGCATTATTTGATGGCAATCATAATGCCCGTTTATACGCTCAATTCCAATAAATCCTAGTACAGCTTCCTACATTTCCAGGGAATCAAAATACTTTATTCAACTTCAGGAATAAATCCCAAAAAGATCAGGACCAAACTCCCCCAATTCGCCCTCCCCCAAATTAAAAAAAAATCAGAAATTCTGTGTCAACTTTAGGAAAGAAAACAGGAAATTCTTAGGCAAATCTGCTCGTATAATCGATTCACTCCACAGGGAGAGTACAATATGTAAAAGTATATATATTATATGTAAAAGTATATATATTATATTATAACTGTGATAATGTACATTTATTATTTCCATCGCAGCTAACACGAGTAGATGGCTCCGCTGGGGTCAAATACTCTTTGCACAAACTGTTAACCACTATCCCATCAAGCCATTCCAGCACCTGTAGATCATACACCCAATTAGAGCCATTCCAGAAACTAAAATTGGAGCAGTTATACAGTCTACAATACAATTAATATAGGGTATATTAATGAGCATAGACATGTAAAAATTTACATGAAAAATAAGTGTGTAGGTCAAGCAACTCATGCTCAGTTCATTGGTTAATCAGACTTGACTCTTCACATTCGAGAGTGATTTGGTTTTTTCTATACCAAGTTTTTTATAGGAGGGAGAGGAGATAGTAACAGAAAGTGGTTGCAGACACCTTGGAATGACAATCAAATAAAAGAAATAGAATCTGAAAAAAGGAAAGGATCAGAGAGAGCAAAAGCACTGGCCATCATCCTGCCTCAAGTAACCGAATGGCTCATCAACTTCACTAACCAAAGCATACTAAATTAGAAATAATATGAGGTATATGTTGAGAAAATTCAGGATAGGACTTGATTTTGATAAGAAACTAACAAATGAATAAGTACTAAGTAATCAGACTCAAGAATACAAGTCTCAATATAAACTTTCAAGTACATGATGCAAGAATTTGGAATAAAATCCTGTCGTTGAATGAATAAAAACTCACAACTAATGCAATCATAATCTTATGCTGGTTAATTCAATTGATCAGGAAAGGGTCACAACTTGATTCCTCTATCATTGCTTCACAGTAGAGCTTTGAAAACAGGATGGAGACCACAAGACAGGGAAGAGCTAATTAAGGTTAAGTAAAGTGAATACTGAAAAATCAAGACTCACTCACAATGAAGGCTCAGACGCTGTTGGACATAGGACAATTCTCCAATAGTACTCTGAAATGATAGAAATTAAATAAAATTATCAAATTAATGGTGAATAAAAATATTAATGGAGGAAAATACCGAGGTAAGAAACCGCAAGCAAGAGAGAGATACAAAATAATCTCAAAGGGTGGCACAAAACTCAATAGCACACAATTATCAAACTCATATAAGAACTTCAACACCAGCAAGTCAACAATAGAATTACCATCCATCGTCTCAAAATATTATGTTTTCAGATTTATTTGTCTTCCATTTTTCTACAATTTGATCACAATAATAACCTAATTGCAGCATGATGTCCATTAGATCACTTCTGATAAATATTATTACAGCTCCCTCTATTTTCGAATGATTAAAATGCTTCATTCAGAATTAAGTAATGCATCTCCAAAGCTCAGGTCTATGATGTGAAAAGCCACGACCAGGAATTCCTATAGATTCTTTATCTGCCAATGCCAATCATGTCAAAATTATTCTGTTCAAGAGGGTTTAGGATTCAAGAGAACAAGAACTTCAACAGCAAACCTACCTCAATATTATATTTCGCTCACTAAGCAAGGAGTGCTATAGTCTAGTACATTTTATGGTAATCATGTTAGCATGAGAGTGTGAGACCAATAGCTAACAGCAGCCAGAGAAAATTTTTTGAATATAATGAATGTCAAAGGATCTCTGGCCCAGCAAGAAACTCAACTTGGATGTAAAATGCAGAAAAATAATATTTTACCTGCAAACATATAAACAACCATGATGACGAACAACTGGTTTTTACATCATAGCTAACAGCAGTATTTACTGAAACAGAAGTCCAATGAAGAGATACATACAATTGGCCAAGCAGAACAAGCAGCTTGGAACCACCATAAAATGAAGCTCTAAGCATAAGCATGGGTTCAATTCTAGACTTCATTCCATTTCTTTTCCCCATAATACTCCATTGTCACACCTTTGCAACCAGCAAAAATTAAACTCAAACACCCTTTTGAGAAGGAGGATAATTGACTAATATCCCTATTTGTTTCAGTATTTTCTCCTATTGCATGTGTGAAACACTATCTAACTTCAAACACAAAGGATATACGCATATTCAGTGAAGAGAAAGGAAACCGCATGCTCTTCTAGTTGATTTCTCTTTTAATGCAAATGTATCTGTTCTAGCAGTTAAGGATCCAAGTTCATTAACTCGCTCTTTGTGGGGCGTTTTCATCAAGAACCCACTGGAGAAAACAGAGGGGAGATTAGCTTTGGCAAGTATGTTATTTGGTTCATAGTGGTAATACTGCTTTTTAAAAATACAGGGATGTTGGAACTTGATGATATTGATTTGGATAAATGTAAAAGAATTATTCAAGGTAAATGAAGCCCCTTAACCTCCTCATGGCTATACCATAATGAAAGAAGTGCGCAAATCTTTCACCTTTCATATGATCTTCCGAATTGAGCATTGAATTTTCTTGTGAAGCTCTTATCCTCCTCATGCCCATCCATAATAAAAGAAATTAAATCTTTCATCTTTAATTTGATGTTCTCAGCTTGGCATTAAATTGTTTGGAGAATACTTGAATGCCATTTCTTAAAACTGATGCGCTCTATTTTGGCTCGTGAAAACTACAAGATAAACCAACAACAGTGGTGCAATTATGTTGCATTGATTAATCAATAAATTAACCAAAAAACATCTTCCAACACAAATGGACATGGAAAAAATTTATTATTGCACAACTGACGCTCACAACTTACATCAAGAACAGGAATGATGCATATGCACAAAAGCCAACCAAAATAAGTACAGCTAAGTTCAGGAGGAATATTTGGTAGAGAAAAGGCCATAACCAAAATCCAAACTAGCTGATTCTGACTATCTCATTCAACTTTGTCAATGACTAACTATTCAGGTTAGAAATATGATTTTTTGAGTCAATGTAAGTTGGGCCAAGTTGGAATTTAATTAGGTCGGTAGGTTGCTCAGATTGATTCAGCTCTTGCCAAATTTACCCTAATAGCATATATAGCAATCGAATACTAGCCCAGGTCAGGTTTGGATTTGCATCATTTCAGATTGAACAGTTTCCGGCCAGAGGACAATTGAGTTCAGGTCATTGACTTTTAGAGAAAATTTGGGCTGGATTTCAGGCAAGGTGGAAAGGTCATGCAGGTTGTCTCATATTTTGCCACCTCTACCTGACTTTTTTTTGGTACAAAGGATGGGCATAGCCAATGGGGAAGGGGGAGGAGGTCTTGGTTTGAAACCAAGACGTATATGTCCTCCTAAGAGCTCCTTAACCGCTAGGCCAAGTGCTGAGGACACCTCTATCTCATTTTGAAACAAGCAAGCACAAATAAAACTGACAGGCATACCTGTAGTTCTTCAAGCCTAGAACAGGTTCACAATACTGGAGATGGAAAAGTTCCAACTCCAAAAGGCATCATCCATTCCACCCAAGCTTCTCTATTGCTGTATGAAGAAGCCAGTCAGGCAGCATAATCAATCATCACTAACCTGTATTTATATGCATTTAATAAAAATTTTTAAAAGAAATCTAATACTCACTGCCATCCCAACTAAATCATTATGAAGAATAGTTTATGAACAGTGACGACCAAATGTACACATCCAGGCAGAATGCACCATAGTACACCATTTGCGACTAAGAATGACAAAAACAAACCAAAATAATAGGCTGACCACAATTCAAGAGTCCCCAACATCACTAACATTAAGCAAAGTAGTCAATTACAGAAAAATAAGCTAAACAATCACAGAATAAAAAGCATAAGATAATTTAGCAAATTAGGGGTATCACAGGCAGAAGAGCACAAGTTTATAATACAGTGCAATGTACTCCAACTCTAAACTTGCTAGAAGTTGATGGAGTGTACTGTACATTTCAATTTGACATTGCCCTAAGATATAAAAGAAGAGAAAGTTACAACTGCATTGGTGGTTACTTCTACATTACTTTTTCTTAAAATGTTTATACAATAACATTCATGAGTCATTCTGAAATACATCATATTAAGAAAATTTAGTAGTGGTGGACTTGCACCGTTAGACAAGTTAGCTTATTTACTACCTACCATATTGTATCTAATTTCGACTTTCAAAAACAGGTATTAGCCAATCAAGCTTGTATGTGAAATAATTCTTCTACAGAGAACAAAGAAATGTAGCTAGTGATAACAAAACCAGGTTGTGCAAACATTACAAATCAGACAAATAATGACGCTCAAGCTCATGTTTAAGCCATATTGTGCAAAATTATACAAAATAAGATATTTGAGACGTGATTAAGTAAAATGGTTTAACTAGAGAACCTGCAATCTGAATAAGCAACTAAGAAATTTAACCCTAAATTAATTCTTCATGCACCTCTTTCAATTACTCAATAGGCAAGCATTGCAAATGTACTTAAATTTCATACTTCAAACACATAAAACAATGAAATTGCAATTTTAGTGAACAAAATAAAGATCTACGGTCTTATATCAATATTCAACAAGAAAAATCAAGAGCTGAAAGCAATAAGAGATTTACCCCTCTTTCACTGCCTTGACGAAAGGTTATAAGTTGTCTCTAGACTCTAGCAGCTCATTGCGGAGCATTCCCTCATCTCCATTCAAGATAGGTTCTATGCTATTTAAGTGAATGAGACCCTATGTTGCAACGATAAGCATTCAATGCCTTAAAATCAACTAGATTCATCCTCAAAGCACACAATTTGACTTCTTCCACTCTCACATCCATCAAATGGTTGTTTGGAATCATTGATTTCACCTTGATTATCCAGGACATTTTGATCATAACTATCTAAAATTGGGATAACCCAGTCTCCATCTCTTCTGCCTCCCCCATTGGTTCTAAAAACTAAGCCATTTATTTCCTCCTTACTTTCTTCAGAGTATTCCAATGATCTTGTATTTCGACACCCCAGCAAGATAAGGTCCAACATTTTCCTTCGAACAACATAAATAGGATTTGCCATAACCAGACACCCTTTGGAATAGGCTTCTCTAAGGAAAACAGTCTGAGCACTTCCTTTGGTAGATATATAGAAAATGCCAGGGTGCTTCAAAAGCATTTCACGTACATTAACTTCTATAGCAAAATCCTTTCTAAAATGAGCCAACCTTTCAACTTCAAGCATCTTTTCTACGGTCAAACTCAATAGCTCATGCATAATCCCAACTGCCCGCTTCTCAAAACGCTCAATCCCTCCACAAGTACGCACTCTGACAACCTCCTTGCTCTCATATGGCTTCAAATAAGGAAGCCTCTGCCAGTTCTTCAATTTCTCCCTATATCCTCTCTCTATCTTAAACCCTGTTGGAAAATTATTGGGAAATGCATTACTTGTCTCGAACTTACTCAACCACTTATCTATGTATTCTTTTTCTCTCCACTTTTCAACCTCAGCCGCCGCCAAACTCTCATCTCTGTCAACCAATTCAACAATTTCTAAATCAACTAACCTAAAATCCTTTGAATACTTTCTTAAAATAGAATCTCTAAAATCCTGAGGCAAGCCCAGTTCTCTCCTAATCAACCTCAAAGCATGGACATGAAGTGTCCCATTCTTTGACATCATGAGCAATTTCTTTATTCTCTGCACCAATTCATGTTCATAATTTTTGACAATTTTTTCTTCCTCATCAATCAAATCCCTCATTCTTCGAGTTATCTTGCAGCATAAATTCCTCCTAATTGGGTGCGGAAATAACTCAAACACGTGAGGATATTTGTGGAGAAATGCACCCATGCCAACATTCAGACCCACAATGTTTCTCCATCGCGACATCAGTTGTACGGAGACGAAGGGACCTCGCTTTCGCTGGGACATAAGCTGGTGGATATTGAGGATTGTTTTGAGTTTGTGAATGTGTGTCACGAGCTTGTCGAGTTTTGAATCTCTTGTCCTTGTTTCTAAGCGAGTCTGAGCTGAAACAACTGGTTTTTTCCATCTCCTTTGTGAAAATGAATTGAATGGGCCAAATGATATTTCATTGCACCTTAGGCTTTTCAAAAAGATCATGCTTTCAAGACCCAGAAAACTTCTCCACTAAGCTCGGAAGCTTCTTCGTCCAAAAGTTTCTTCAAAACTAGCAACGCCTCCGTAAGGTGTATGATAAAATGTCAATAAAAGAAAAAACAAACTTAAAAACCTACTGATAAGATGGATCCGGTTTTTCACAAATTAAAAAAAAAAAAAATCAATAAGCCGAGGTGCCTGGGCTGCGAAACCCATACGCGATCCAACCATTGCACACCCAAATGTGGCCAGTCCCCATGATGGGTCCTTTTAAAAGCCCAAATCAGGCTTAAGCGACAGGATTCTGCAGTCAATTGTACAACTCTGATATTATATACATATATATATATATATATATATATATATATAGAAAAGAGAGATCCGATAAAAGTGTAAAACTAATTCAATTTCTCATCATTTCATAATTTTGTATAATCTATATTTGTTTAATTAGATTATTTGTATTTCATACTCTATTCATATAAATAATGTAAGTTAAATTTTAAATTAATTAAAAAAAACTAATTATTTGATATAAAAAATTTTCAATTGTTGAAAAAAATAATTTTGTCTACTGATATAACAAAAATATTGGATTGATATAAAATTTACGTACATAGTGGATACAATTATTTGTTAAATCCAATTGTCTATTTATAAAAATATTAATTATATATAAAAGTTATAAAATAGTGTAAAACTACAATTTATAATTTTTATGTGATTTATATTTATTTAATCTGATATTTGTATTACATATAAATAAATATGAAAATTTTAATACATTATCAATAAATTTTTTTAAAAATTTTACAAAAAAAATTAAAAGACTAACACATATATTTTTAATTGAATTTTTAGTTTTTAATATTTTTAAAAGTATTTTATTAATTTTCGTTTGAAAAATGTTAAAATTACATTATTATAAATGAAATAATTTGTCATTGATACTAACATTCCCTTTATAATCATATTGAGCCGATTGATTGAACGAATCAAAGTGATTAAGCCAATAATGAGAGACCTCGTCTATTAGACAATCAGTCAGGTCTCAAAAACCACTGATTGTGGGCAATCAGGATGGACTTACTTTTTGCTCTAAAAACAAAAAAACAATCAAAAAAAGAAATTACAAGGAAAGATGGGTTGACCTTTTTCTTGGAATCAAGGATTTCGTTGCTAATCGCCACTTTAACACTCAGTATTGTTCTAGCTATAATTCCAGGAAAAGCAGTGGATTTATGGTTTTTTTGTAATTATATATATATATATATATATATGGAGAGATCAATTTATTTAATATAAAATTTTTTAAAAAATTATATTTTTTAATTATTAATTTTAATAGTAAGTAATGATCTACTTACATTAGTATAAGGATTTACACTTCCATCTCCTTCAAGTGGGGCTTATCACGATGATAAGGACCAATTAGTTGCGGTTCGTAGGCTTTTTCATTTACCTGCCTTAGTTGATGAGGCACTGGCCAAAGACTCACAATAGTCTGGCCTCCAAGATCTGCGTCCAACCTTTGGATTTTGGCATTGTGAATGTTCTCCTTTTATCTGTTACTAGTGCAAGAGTGGTTGTGTTGGAGAATATCATACCAGACAACTAATAATAGCATTTCAAAATTATTATCGCAAGGGTTATTATCCATCAACTTTAGGGAAGGGGAAATAACTGAAATTGTGACCGAGTCCTGAATTGGGCTGCCTAACCCTGAATTTGAGACCTTTTAGATCAAAAGGTGTGCATTATTGCTATGTAAAATGCATTAATCATATTAATTTTTATTCGATATTTCATTTTCATCCCAATCTTTAAAATTTAACTTTTTTTAATCTATTTATAAATGTTCTAAATCATTCATTTTATCAATTACATTTAAAAACTAACCAAATTTGCCACTTCATTTTCATTCTTTATTTTTCTGCCTATATTATTTTTTACTTGGTGTGAATTTTATTGTAGTGATATTATTATTGGCTAAATCAAAATGTCTAAATCCTATGGGTTTTATCAGTGCGCTAATATTTATGTCCAATGGTCCACTATTAATGACTCAGGCGACGTTGTCTCCATAATGGACACAACCCCTTTTTGCTTTAAGATCCAGTTGGCCAATAGATAGATCAGCCACAAAATGCTGCTGTCTGTGAAGTTACAACATGAACTTGAGGTGAATAGAAGCAGAAACTTGCACACACCATAATTAGGTATAGATTATTTTAGCATCTTTTGCATGTAATAAAGTACGTAGTATATATTTATTTAACAATCTTAGACATGTGATAGCTTTGCTTTATTCTTGCAGTCTCACCAAGCCTGCCTTCAAATTCCATAAATCCATAATGGAAGAGAAGTTAGTCTTTCTTAAAAAAAGAAAGGATGAACTGTAAAATGGTAGTCATGAAAACCAGAAGAGCGGCAGCAAAGGAAATGCGTGTCCAGGGAGTGCTAAAAATAGTCATGCCTTAGTTTCGCCTTCCAAGTGTTCCAGCTTCTTGCGCAGTGCTGCTTCACGTCGACGAACATCTTCTCGTAATAAAAGGTTTCCCCGCATAGTGTAACACAGTCACGAAGTTTGTTAAGCATTTGTGCAACAGCATCATCGTCACCTAACATATTCACAATAACTCCACATAAACGAAGCAACTGCACATCATTGGCTGTGTTGACGAGGTTATCCATCAATGTCACATAATCAATGACATAAGTCGAACCTTGCACATATAGTTCGTAGGCAATAAGGTTGCGAAAGAGACGCTCTGTATTGTCTCCGATCACCAACGTTGGAATCTTCATTTTTCCGCCTGTAAATTCCACATCGAACAAGCTCTTTGCATAGCTCTCTTGGTTGCTATCATCCTCATCACTCCCACAATCGACCTTTATGAACTCTATTCCTGCTTCTTCCAACTCTCTTGCACAACGTATGGATTGTCGTCCGACTCGTCCTCCCAGTCGTTTTGCTTTTTCTCTGGAAAAACATATGAATTTCCAATGGCCTTTATTGGCAGTACCACTCTCTTGATTTCCTTGGCCTAACTTTTTCTGTTTGGAGATTGCTATTGCACAGAGGATGAATTTCCATGTGCCTGGCTGGCGCTTTTTCTCTTTTGCTTCTGCCTCTGCTTTTTTAATTTCTTCTACATATTCCCGATAGCGCTGTATCCCTGGAGGCGAAGGTACCCAGTTATCATGTATTAAGCCCAGAAGATGATGGATTTCGTCGGTATCTTTGATGGTGGAAAGGTATGCAGTTGCTATATTTGGTCCTGGCAGCATTCGAATTAGTTTATCTAAAGCTTGGGGAGCGAAGTCTGTTCCATCTGTCGAATCCTTGATCAGGCCATACAACTTCACTAGTACAAAGAAAGGAAGTTGATTTTCGAGTAGCAAGAGATCACCAAATAAGGCAGCTCGACTCCATTGCAGTTTGGACATTAGATCTTGCGGCTCTCTGCACAGTAGTTCAATAATGAAGCATCCGTCGATCACCATGAGTCCTGCTAAATCGTCTTTCGAAATGAACGCTTCGGGTACCCTATACCATTGGCGAATAGTTGCTTCCATGTTTCTTATTTCCTCGAAACATCTACACATGATTTCATGACCTTTTCGTCGATCAATCCTCTTCAAACACTGGCGTTTGGTCATTTCCATATCCTGCAAGTGCTCCTTACCAACGTGGTTAGGACCTATTAAAATTAATTCTGGCTCATAGGCTGCTTGATTTACCAGTCGTAGTCGATGAGGCACTCGAAAATTTTGATGGAGCTGCATGCGCAAGTGGATGAGATAGTGTGTTGGAAAGTAGAAAACTAATTGAGAAGAAACCTTATAGGGTTTCTAATCCTATATGCATGCACTAGAATTTAAAAGACCTTACAATAAATGCATGCTATATATAAACAAGAAACTGATAATGAAGATAATAACTTAAAATGAAAATGTGATGATCATATAAACCCGCTTACTGTGAAGATTTATTTATCATCGTTTCTTTATCATGTAATAATCAATCAAAATTATTATCAGAAGTTGCTATGGTGTCAAATCTAGGGAGAGGCAATATTGAAAATATAATTTATAGTTTAGTCATCGTTCATCATCTAGGTTACCTTAATCTTGAATTTGAAATTTTAGGTCCCTTTTTTTAATGGTTTTCCTTTTTGTTATTTGCTATATGTTTTTAGGTTTATATTCATTTTTATATTATTTTCTTTTTTGTTTATTTTTCTTAAAAAACAAAATGTAAAAAGGTAAAAGCATTTATCAAACTCAACTTAAAATGTTTTGTTATTTTTTACATTTGTTTGTAATGAAGTTACTCCCTTTTTTTAAGGGTAAGTAATTGGTCATTTCGGTTGGTTCGATTTAAAAAAAATTAATAATCATCTTCCATTCAACAAGTAACACCAACCAATTTTGTTTAAATAACCGACCATAATCGATCAATTCGATTAAATAATCAAATTTTTTTATCATTTTTATTTTTATTATGAATAATTATTTAACCACAAATTTAATTTAATAAAACTCAAACTCAAGCATCATTTAAATTAAATGAATAAAAAAATTAATAATTTAAACAATATTTTACAAGAAAAAAATAAATAAAAATATTTATCTCAATATTTTTACATTTACTTATTAGAAAGTAAATTAATTTGGTCAGTTACGTTATCAATTTTAAAAATTGAAAATCGACTGAGTTAACTAATTTAACTAATTTAAAAAATCAATTATAATTAAAATTGAATAAACTAAACCGATTCAACTTAATTCATTCGGTTTTAATTTGTTAAGTAGGTTCAAATCGAATTTTGCTCACTTTTACCTTTGTCCTATAAAAAAAAACATGGGGCAATGCTAAAATATAAAGAAAAAGAACTAATATTGTTTTATGTAATGTAAAAAAAATAACAATAAATCATGTAATGTTTGTAATTCAAAGAAAAAATTACTATAAACTGTGAAACTATATATATATATATATTTTTTCTCATGTTAGCAAAACTTATACGATTGATAACTAAACAATGATGAATCTTAACATTTAGTTTGATAAATCTATTACTTTAAGGGTTTGTAAATAATGATTGTGTGTACAATAAATAGATAAATTTTAATATAATTTTAATATTTTAAAAGTTAAAATTAGGTTAAATATAAAAAAAATAAAATTAACAAATAACAATTTAAATTGAGAATCAATTTAATTTTTCAAATAAATGTAATGAAATAATTAATACTATAGGATTTTGAAAAAGTTTTAATATTAATAGTACAAGGTAAAAAGTTTTCAAATTTTTTGAAGGGCTAAGGCCCCAAGCTCCATCAATGGTGGTCTACCATTGTAACTAAGGGAGGTATAGGAATAAAAGGCAATAATAATGTAGATATCCCATTTTGTCCGATGATTTTATCAAATAGTCATTTTTTATTTCGATTTTGTTTGGATCGTTAGGTCTTTGAAATGTTTATTAGGTCTTTTGGGCTTTCAATAGACTTATTCAATTAGTGTTTAGGCTTTGAACCCAACATATACTTTTCTTTTGTTAGGACTGGCAAAGGGTTTTCTTTGGTTTCTCCCATTAGTGTTTGGGCTTTGAGCCCAATAGATTTTTTTTTTTGGTTGATAGTTTTCTTTTATTGCTTTAAACACAAAAATAAAAAATAAAATAAAAAAAGAAAAGAAAATCAAGAATTTTTTTCGAGAAATTCAATCCCAAAAACTAGATTTGATTAAATTATAGGGATTATTGACAAATATCAAAGCAAATAAAAAAGTAAGAATCAAGCTATAAACAGGATTGAATCTATTTATGATAGATTCAATCTCTACTAATCAATGAAATCTCTAAGATTACTAATGAAGAGCCTTATATAAATCATATTCTAACACAGATAGGGACAAAGAGAGAATAAAGAGGAATCGTTGAAGCAACTTTGGGATTTGAGCATTTTTTGCCTCACTTAGGTTTTGTAATTTTATTTTGTTCTAGGTTTGATTTGACCTGCTTTTGGGTTTTTTTGGAATTGGATTTAATTTCTAGGTTTGATTCATTTTCTGTTGGGTTTTTTTGGGATTTTTGGAGACTATTGGTTTTGAGATTCAAGATTCTAGAATTCTTTTTGGGTTTTCTAAAAAGTTTTTGAATTTTTTAGCAAGAATTTGAAGTTCCCAATGACCAGCGATTGATATCTTGCCAGTTTCTTTATTTTTTTTGCCATTTTTTGGTTCACTAGAATCTGCTGTTTGAACATTAAAGAGAGAAGCAGAGGAAAAATATGAGTTAGAGAGTGACAGTCCAAGGGATTCTAAGAAGAAAAGAAAAGATTTTGGGTTTTTTATTCTTGTGCAAAATGCACCATTTAGAGCTTTATAAATACCCAAGGTCCATATGTTTTACCATTTTCCAACCCGACCCATTATGTAACTCAGTTTTCAACCTACATCCTATTTCACTAAAAGCCAAATCGAGTCCTTAATTGAGCTTCAAGCCGTACCGGATTAAGTCGCCTACTATGTTTGAACTGTTTATCTAGGCCATTAAGCGGAGCCAAATCTTTGTATTTTTATTTTTATATTTATTTTTTTATCTATTTATTTACTTATTTATCTATTTATTTATTTTTTAAAAATATTTTTATAAAAACATATTTAAATAAAAAAGCCTTACCAACATATTAGAGGGCTTATATTTTTATTTTCAAAATAAAATTTTACCAACATATTAGAAAATTTCATAATTTTTTAAAAAATAAAATTTAAGAAAAAAAGTTAGTTTTCAAAAGGCTTTACTAACATATTAGAGAGCTTATGATTTTTTAAAAAATAATATTTTACTAACAAATTGGAGAATCTTAATATTTTTAATAAAAATCAAATTTAAAAAAATAAAATAATTTTCTTAAATCCTACCAATATCTCGGAGAATAATTTTCAACAGGAAATCTTACTAACATATTGAAAGATATTTTTAAAAATAATTTTTTTTTGTAAAAGTTATATTTTGATTGGTTATCATAAATAAAAAAATTTTTTAATAAAAATTAAATGAATCTAACTATGAAGCCTCTTCAAAGTGTGATAAATAGTCTCTTTAAATACTCCTCAAATGATAAAATAATCTTAAATTATTACCAACATAATATAGTAATTTAAGAAAAATTTTTAAGATTAAAATTATTTGGTACATTATAAATATATTTTAAGTCTTAGATAACTTGAAATCAAACTAGTACCATCCTTTAAATAGACACTGTGAGGGTGCTATAACTTTTCTCATGTATAACCACACTTCTAAACCTAAAATTTGATTTTGTAGAGTAGAATCTATCATTTAAATATACTTAAGTCAAGCTTGAGACTCCTTTTTAAAATGGAATAAATTCAGTTAGATGGTCAATCACGCCTAAACAAAATATAGGTGTTAAGTCCTTAAATCTATGTCTAGCGATAGGTTCACGAATCTATATGTTAAGACAGTTTGACAACTCCACTAAAAGTTGGGCCAATAAATGATTTCTTATTATCCGAGCTTAACTTAATAAATTCAAGAATTATTTTTTTTAATTTTTTTTCGTGTCTGTATTTTATTTATTTACTTATTTATCATATCTATCATTCACTTGCATTGTATAACATGAGCTTATACCCAAGCTTCATCTTTGTTGAGGGAGTGAAGTACCTAGGCCTTCATGAAATTTCATGTCTCCATATGGGCTAGCGAAAAACTTCACTTAAATTGAATCAATTCCGCTTGTAATTTATAATAGCCAAAGATTTTGGTGCCTTATTAGCTATGATAGACAATGATGTAAGTAACAATTTAGAAACCTTTAGAAATAACTCAAACCACACATAGTTAACCCTATGAGCTTAACCCATAGATAGAGCCATGTTCCTTTTACTTTTTCAGAATTGACCCTAAGTTAATATCATCTTGTTGCTATATTTGTTTTGTTAATATGCTTATTTTCTTTATATCAAAATAATTAATTCTTTGTTTATTTTTTTCTTGTCTTTTATATCCATAACACATTCAAATAGAATGCATAGCATACTTGTCCCAAAGATATTTTCAACAAAAGTTTTATTAAAATTCATTGAACATCTAGTTTGCACCTCGTCTATGTTTTTGAGTGTGAGTTACCCATTGATTTGAAGGTAGAATCTGACAAAAAGCAACAAGTGGAAGATGATTGTCTACCATTTGGCTATGTCTCTACCTTGCCTAAAGAAGTTCATTTGCTTCTCAAGCAAAATGATTTAAAAGACTTATCAGACATATGAAAAAGTATGGGTTAATCCAAATAGTCAGCTTTCTGTGAAAAGTATAGCCATATCACGCATCTCCATTCAGTGGTAATTGAAAATTCATTCATTAAAGTAATGATGCAATTTTGGGATTCTTCATATAAATGCTTCGTCTTCAATGAGGTTGACATAACATTGACTATAGAAGTGTATTCTACATTACTGGGTTTGCATCTCTAATCACTATATAAGATTTATGTAAGAATATAGAAACCAGCATTTCATAAGAAACTAGCCAATCTCATAAAAGTCAAAAAAAAAAAATGACCATATTTGTCTACCTTGGGAATTTTTTTACAATGGTTAGATATATTTGCTTTGGCTATAAATGGCATGATGGTCTTTTCTAAAATCTTGGGTTATATTGAAATAGAAGTGATTAACATTTTTTAGCATGTGGAAAAAGGTTGTAACCTCTCACTCGTAATCTTAGTTGAAACAACTAGATCTCTAAACC